GCGGATAAAGAAAAAGAGTGACGTCATGCCAGGCTAGTTCGTTGGGCTAGGTCGTGGCACTCCTTGCATCCCACCTTCTCCATCTCACCCTCCTTCTCTGCCGCCACCTCAACCATCGACTTCTCTACTCATCCTCCTTCTACGAACGGCGCACGGTCCCCTCGCCCTCGTCCGTCCGCTCCGCTTCGCTCCGCGCCGCGCCGCGCCGCGCCGAAAAAAGCAAGGCTCGCAAAAGGACGCCCGGCGTCGTGGCGCTCTTTGGCTGATCAATACCCGCCGCCTCGTACGCGGACGGACGGTCACGCATGTGCACGGTGTGGGCCTCTCTCTTTCTCTTTCTTTCCCTTTCCGTTTCGGTACCGGCTTTCCCCATCCCATCATCTCCTCGCCATCCCTCGTTTGCCGTTCCTCTCTTTATTCATCTGTCCTTTTCTTATCATCTCTTAACCTCATCCTTTTTCTTTCTCCCCCGCGTCGCTTTGCCCGTTCTTCCCGACTCACTGTCCTCGTCCGTCTTTCTCTCGTACGCCGCGTCCCTCTTGTTATCTCTTCGTCTTTCGTGCGCTCTCGATTTTTCTCCCGCTTCTCTTTCACCGTCCCTCGATTTTTCCTCTCCTTTACGCCCGTCCACTATCCTTCTTTTGTTCGCCCACCTCCACCAGCTCTTCTCTTCTATCCCCCTCCCCCGTCGCCCGCTCCGTCCTTCTTCCTCCCCTCTCTTTACATACCCCCGCGCCGCCTCCGTAGAGACGGCCCGATTTTTTCCTCCCGTTTCCTCGGCTCCGACATTTTTTTACACCTTTTTTCTCCCCCCTCCAGTGGCTGCCCATGCGCCGCTCCCCCGCCATCGGAATACCGCCTCGAGCATCCACTCCGTCTCCCTCTCCCTCATGTCTCACATACGCACATGATCTCTTTCTTTCTCGCCTCGTCTATCCTCCGCCCTTTTTCTCTTCTCGTTCGCTCACACCTCTCACTCTTCCCACCACCCTTTCATTTCTCCCTGCCTTTCACCCCCGCCTCCTTACCCCGGCTCTCCTATCTGTTTGATTTTTTTTTTTCGCGACTACCCGACCACCTACCGACGCCGCGCGTCGGCGTCCTTTTTCTATCGGGAC